GGTGGTTTAGTGCAGGCCCTAGAAACCTCAGCCAAGGTCAGGCAGAAGCCTGAGTAGTTTATCTGTGCGTGGCGGGGGGAGGCTACAACGTAAGGGAAAGCAGCAGTAACAAGGAGGGCAGAAGGGCAGAAGGGATAACTAAAACCTGTGGCCAGGAAACACCGTTGCCAGCAGACTGCTCAGCCCAGGCGGCAGAGCCTATCACCTGCGGCGATAAAACACATGATTGTTCTCTCTATTTCTTGCTTGTTTTCTTGTGGGAACTGGACTGACAAATCTCAAGCCTAGATGCCAATATGAGGAAGTAGCACAGCCAGGAACCCAAGCATCTCTCAACCACAGGCAGATCTGAGATGAATCCCACCTACCTGCTGGGCACTACTGATGCATCAGGGGCCAGGTTACCAAATTTAGTTCATCAGATAGGAGGTCAGATTTGCTGAGCACATGGGAAAGAGTCTTTTTTTTTTTTAAAGAAAGGAAATAGCTATCATAGAACCTGTCTTCCTGTAGGTGGTGTGTCAAATGATATGACGGCTTGGGTACAGGTAGGCAAGAGGGACTACGGGGCAGAACTCCTTGTTTCAGTCTTCCTGGCGGCTTTGGCCAATGGCGATCCTTTTTCCCTCCATGTCATAGGCACAGGTCATGAAAAGGAGCACAGTGGTGGCGGGAAGTGTCCTCAGATTAACGTCAACTTCCCCAGGAAGTACTCTGGGAAGTGTCACATGCCTTTCATCCATCCACCTCGCCAGTGGCCTACTCATCCACTGCAATCCATCCATCTGCCCCTTCACCTATCAATCATCCACCCCGTCCATCCCCCCATCCATCCCCACAACATTATGAGCTGCAATCAACAAATAGTCACATGTATTTATAGTGAACAATTTGAAGTTTTCATACCCATGTTTACCTGCGTGTTGTGGGAGTAACTTCCGCTGCCTCAACCAATAGTCGCTGAAATACGAGCCCACAGTGCAGCGGGGAGCGACTTCCACTCCATCAGCCAATAGCTGCTGAAATACCAGCCCACTGGGGCGTGGTATATTTCTCTTTTAGAAAGAGAAGCAGATCTGGATCAGGCTCTCTTGATTCCGGCTCTTGGTTCCGGTGCTTGCTCCCGGCTCCTGCTCCAGCGACTAGGCTCCATTCCTGACGGTTTATGGTGTATGTAAGTTTTACCCCCCAAAATAAATAACCCCTTAAAACATAACTGGTGTGGGATTGATTCGCCGATAATTGGCGCCCAACGTGGGGCTCGAACCCACGACCCTGAGATTAAGTGTCTCATGCTCTATCGACTGAGCTAGCCGGGCCTTGTTTATTGCCTTGTTTGTTGGCCACTAGAAGCTCTCTGACCTTTTGTGATCTGTGGATTTAACCTCTGGATTTGAGTGTATATATTCTAGAGTTTACTTCCTGAATCAACACCACTGCCACGTGGATTCAGGCGTGTGCCACCACTACCGGCTATATTAAGAGATATTTTTGGAAAGGAATTGGTCTATGCAATGCCAGTTTGGAGCCTTCTTGAAAGACAGTTTAATATTTCTACTAGGAGATATAAAGGTCTACAATATTTTTAGGGTTCTTTTCTGGTTGTCCCCACACCTGACCACACTGCATGGTCTGGCAGGAAGGAGAAGGTGGTCTTCCTCTGTGGGAGGTGAAGGAGGAATGTTTGGTTTTGCTTTACTCCCTCCTGTTCTAACAATGTTACCGCTGCTCCCCATTCCATTGGAATGGTGCGGGAGAATTATCTGTATTCTGTCAATCATATTTTAATAAAACGCTGATTGGCCAGGCAGGCAGTATAGGCGGGAAAGCCAGACAGGAAGTAGGGGTAGAGCAAAGAGACTGGGAGTATTCTGGAAGCAGAAGCTCTCTCAGCCACTCCTGTCCAGACCACCAAAGAGGCAACATGTAAGCTGTCACACTGAGAAAGGTACTGAGCCCATGTGGCTAATGTATATAAGAATAATGGGGTAACATAAGTTATAAGAGTTAACAAGAAGCCTGACCTAATGGGCCAATCAGCTTTATAACTTATAGAGATCTCTGTGTGATTGGTTTTCTTTGGGGTTTGCCGACTTGTTGGGGTGCTGGGCGGGATAGATACCCCAACAAGCCGGCCCTCATGTTACACCTGCGGAATCATCACTCACTAAAATCTACCCAATGAACATGTCTGTTATCTAAGGTTTCTCCTCTCCTTGCTATTCTTTCCCTCTGTCTTCTCCTTTCTCCACGCGCAAGCAGACCCCACGCTTTTTGCTATTCCCTGCTATCCTGCACTGACATGACCAGTGAGACTCTTCCTCCTATTCCACATATGTACCCGCGTTTCCAATACTTTTATTTCCCCAGATATCTACAGCTTCAGTTTTTCCCTGCAAACAGTCAGAGCTCACAATCCTCCCTGTTTCATAAACAATATAAGACTTTAATGTTTCCTACTCATGGATTTGCCCTGTTAGGCCTCACCCCATGGCATGGATTTTTCTTATGTCCTATGGACAAGGTCCCTGTAATTACTTCTTTACGTGGACACAGCCAAAAGTCACTTTTCTCCTTTGCCATGAATTGAACAAGATTCCTTCAAGTTCCCATTTAGTCTAAGGAATTCTCAATTCCTCATCTTCTCTATAACCCATGAAATGATGAGGCATTTTACTTCCAGTGTCGTAACATGGAAAGAGCCTTACTTTTCCCTCTCCTTTGGGCATGGCCAAGCTTAAACATTCTCCACAGTTGCTTGTCCGTGACCTGCCTGTATGTTTCTTCTCATTCCTGGGTGTAACTGGGCTATGATGCTTCTCTTATTTCACAACTATAATGATGATTTTATAATTTTATTTTCCAGTTCTGTCAAGACAGACAAGCTCTTTCTTTACCTTTCCTCCAAGAACAAGACCAGGCCCCTTACCTCCTCCTTCTGACCTCATTGTGTTGTAGTTCACCTGGCTCCTGATTCTCCTCTTAATTCATGGTCAGTTTCCTGACAGTCACTGCATTTCTCATATTTATGATTGTGACTAGGGTCTCTATTTTACCTTTTTTCCACAAATATAGAAAGATCCCTACTTCCCACATCTCCATGGACATGTTGGCACTCTATATCCCCTTAGTTATTGGACATTGAAATACTGCCCATTTTATTCCATATTCCAGTTATTTCTCCTTCATGCCGTGATTTTAACCAAATACCTGTTTCTTCTTCATACCATGGATCTTTCTGGTATTGTTCAGGGAAAACTGGATCAGGAAAGAAGATGCCTGAATGGATAGGGGCCAGAAGGTAGTTTTATTTGCAGTGTTAGGGCTGTTTAAAAAGCTGAGCCCCGGAGCTGGAGAGATGGCTGAGCAGTTAAGAAGAGTACTTCTTGCTCTGGCAGGATATCTGAATTCGATTCCCAGCACCCACACTGGTGGTTTACAACTATTCCTGGAAATCTGAAGCCCTCTTCTGACTTCCTCAGACACCAATCACACACATACATATGTCTAGGCAAAACACTGATATACATAAATAAAACTTAAAAATATAAAAAAGAAAGAAAGATAGAAAAAGAAAGAAAGTGAGCTCCAAGTTCAGTTAAACAGATTGTCCCCCTGCTGGCCTCCCCACATAGCAATCCAGAGTGACATGTATTTTGATTGGCTATATTTAGCTTAATTAATAGTTTGTTAAATTACCCCCTGCCAGCAGATCCCCGCAAGCAACAGAGGTTACTCCAAGCCATTTATAGTATAGAGGGGAAAGGGTAGGAATTGGGCTACAGTTGAGACATCTCTGTAGTGACCGTGGCTTATCCAACTTGGAGTGTTCCAAGGCTGCTATGTCTGGAGCTGGACAGCTTCTGTACTCTATGGAGCACAGTATGGCTACTATGGTATATCCTAGCAGGATGCCATTGTATACTGTCACAGTGGAGGGTGACTTTGTCTAGGGCAAGGAGCTCAGTGGACAATGGTTCCAGCATACGAGTTAGAGTCAGGGAAGAATCACACAGGTGTTTTTAGGAAGCCACCAATGTCAGACACAGGAGTAAGTTCTTCGCCTCCATCCATTTTCATACCACAGGGATATCAGGTGTGGGGGCACATGCCTTCAATTCCAGTATGGGGCACAGGGCACAATTAAGAAGATCTCTGTGAATTCCAGGCCGACTTCGTCTACACAGTGAGTTCTAGACCAACCGTGATTGCACCATGAGGCCTTATTTCAAAAAAGAATAATTCATGTTACAGGGAGCTGAAAAATCTAGGCTCAGGGAGATAAACTAGCCCAGAATCCCCAGAACAGAGCTGGACAGTGAGCTATTTGTGATGCCTGCCATATCGCTCTGCTTCTCATTGGCTAGTGTTTAGTTTTGGATATTTTAACTTTGAAATAATATGAGACTTACAAAAAGGCTAAAATAATTTGCAAAATCTGCCCTAGGCTTTAATCCTCCCCAAACATTGACATAATCCCAGTATAAATATAAAACTACAAAGTTAATATTTAAAATACAAGCACTGCACTACATTCAGATTGTGGGGGTGAGGTAGTGTATGAAGGCCCAAGGTTGCTTTTATGTCTTACTGCCTTACTCTCCACCTTATTTTTTGAAACAGGATCTCTCAATGAACCTGGAAATTAGCATTTTGGCTACACTAATAGATGGTGAAGCCCCGGGACCCACCCATCTTTGCTCCCCAGCACTAGGGGTGCAGATGCTCACTGTCAAATCTGGCTTTTATGTTGGTGCTGAGGATATGAACTCGGGTCCTCATGTTGGCTCTGAGCCACCTCTGTCGCCCCAGATTTCTTTGATTCTCTTACTATTATTCTTTCCCTGGATCAAAATATAGGGTTCTGTAATGAGCTTCTACATACAGGCGGCCCCAGGCAGGGCTAATTTCTGAGTAAGGCTCTTGGCTGCTTTCAGTGGGGAGCATGGGGTTACCTCACAAAGCTGTGCTGGGTCACAAGAAGATTACAAGGGGTTGTATATGAACCTGCCAGCACAGTGGGAAACAGATGGGAGAAATCTGCGGCAGTGGGAGGCAGGTGAGGAAGAGGAACGTGACGGAGGAAGCACGGGAGATGCTAGTGGCTTGGTAAGATGCTTGGGATGTATTACTCCAGGTCCCGTGTGGCTGAGTCCTATGTCTCAGTCCAAACATGACTTTCTCCATAAACGTTCACCCACTCCCACACACAGTGCTCTTTGGCCACTAGAGTTTTTATTGCAGAGTTCCGAACAGGTCTGTTCTTGGGATTTCTTTCACACTGCATGTGAGTGCAGGCAAGGATAGGAACTCTCCTGGCTTGACAGCGTGCAGAGACAACCCCTTTCCTTGACTGTTAAAGAACAGAATGGTCATTGCAAGTGGGAGGAGCCCCGCTGGGGAGTCGGGAGTGTGGTCCTGGCGAAGTTCTCCATGGGTAGTGTTCTTAGCACCATGGAAGAATGAACTTGGGGTCTTAATCTTTGCTTAAGTGCAGGTGAAGCTGCCTGCCAGGAAAACCTGTCCAGTGAGACTGCTGCGGAAGAGCCAGGGAGCCGCGGCTGCACTCCTACCCTGGCATCAGCAGAGACACGTGCCCGCTAAAGCTGCGGAGATGGAGGCCAGAGGCCTGAGGATGCCCTTGCTGCTCTTGCTGGTGGCCGTAGTTGTAATGGCCAAGGTGAATCACATCCAAAGGTGGGGAGGCTTCAAGGAGAAGGCCTCAAGCAAGAAGAACATAAACTCCACACTCCATTTCTTCATCCAGTCCTACAACAATGCGAGCAATGACACCTACTTGTTTCGCGTCCAGAAGCTCATCCAAAGCCAGATGCAGGTTTGTGCCTAGGTCTCCCAGACAGCGACACAACCCCCATCTCGCTTTTTCAGTCCTATGGGGATTCTGATTGGGTTCTTTGGATAACAGTACTGAGAACTCTCTGGGGGCGTGTCGTATACGATGGGAACACTTGAAGCTTCTGGGCTAAGTAGCTCCCTCGGTCACCAGTCACATGACCTAGGTAGGCCTAAGGTTCAGAGCCAACCTAACTCACTTCGTCTTGGCCAAAAAGTGAGCTGTAGAGGTTCTCCATTGTTCTACAGAGGGGATTGCATTTCATTTTGCCGACCAGACAGCCGGGGTGGGGCTGGTTTCGCTCTCTGTAATGGCTTTATCTGGACAAGCCCTAAACACTCTCTGTAGCTTTCTCCGGTCAGCATTTCGTTTCAGTGCCCAGCACTGTCAAATCGGGCTGGATTCTCTGCTTGAGACATTTGTAATCACAAGTCTTTGGGGACAGCTGAGGGGAAGTAGCAGGGAACGAGCAAGGAGCTTCAGTCAGATAGTTCCACCACTTTTGAGGCAGAATCTCTGTATTTAGCCCTGGCTGGCCTATGTCTCTCTACCCTCAGCCTCCTGCCTTAGCCTACTGAATGTGAGCTAGGATTACGCCTGTGTGTCACCGTTACTTCTCTTTTGTTTTACACACAATTTTACATATGTGGTTCTTGGGAACTGTATCAGTTGAAAGATGATAGAATAAAAAAAATTGTTTGAAAACTATTGGTCCACTGTTCCCCCAAGGTCAGATAGCAAAATATGTAAATCAGTCAGAAATGATACTGCATCTTAGACAGATTTGGGGGGAGATAATTCCTTAGGCGGAAAAACTAATAGTCGAGAGAATGCAAGGCAGATGGAACAGGAGTTAATAGAAAGAGGAGAAGGCATGGGAGTGGGGCGGGCAATATTAGTGTTTTACCCCTGTTCCTAAATCCTGGCACAGACAGTCCAGGGTATTATGCACCCTGACCACCAGGTGGCGCTGTTCTCATTTATCTTTTTCACTTCGAATCCGTTTCGTCTAGGTATAGCTGAGACACTAAGATTTAATGTGTGAAACCAACCTTTGACTATTAACAATTAACTGGTCAATAATGGTTTTTTAAAATGTAAGCAAACTCGATGTTACTTAAAGCGATAAGTGGACAGCTGTGAGCTTGCCGATAGGAAGGGGAGGACCATGGACACAGGTTTCTGAACATCTCAATATCCAGATGTGACTTTGAAAGTCTCAGTTCCACAAAGAGAGGATAGTAGACAAACACGGTGGGCTGCCGGCCTGCTTTCGACTTTCAGTCGCTCCCAGCTGTGGGATCTTGGTTAGGTGTTTCTAGAGTCCTTCAGGACTGTCTCTTCACCTGCAAACTGGGTCAGAACAAGTTTAGCTCAATGCTGCCACCTAGTAGCACTTGTCGCAATAGCTGCTGTCGTGACTTTAGTTCTAAGTGAACAGAGGAGACTACCAGGGAGTAAGAAGTTTAAGGCGCACAAATATTTTCGTTTTCTTTTTCCTACATACAACTTGCTGACAGCCGGTCAGTGTGGCAGGGGCTGGCTCAGTTCTTCAACATCCCCGTGCATAAGTAGAATGAACCCCTGGTGACAGAAAAGGAGCACCTGCACTCTAGGGAACTCGGGCTTGTACTGAGACTGTATTCTCAGTGCAGCCATGGGCAATTGCCCTGTGCCTGGCCTTAGGTTTTATGTGGGAATCTTTCAACCAGGACCAAGGTGAATTTTCTGTGTGCATCTCCCTTAGAAAAACTCACACTGTCTCATTAGGTTGAACCACTGGCATTTGGGCAAGAAGCAGGGGGCTCACAGGAGCTTCTCCCTACTACAATTATAGTTGTCTAGTCTACACACTTATCTTTGGAGCCAGACCTGTGACTATAATCGCCAAATTTCCTTAGCGTTTCTCTTTCCCAAAAACCTTCCCAACCTCCTCCTCCTTAGTCTTCAAAGCCTTAGGTTTGAGCACGAGAAAGAGAAGACAAAGCCACCATGGTAGCTGGCCCTGGTTTGTGTCTCGTCTATGGCTTACCTGGCTAGCACTTCATCGTCTTGCACAGATTCAGGGCACAGTGGGTAGCATTTCGAGTGGAAAGCTCCTGGGAGACAAAGCAAGAGCTTCAGCACAGGCCTCTCTGCTTCCCTTGGCTCTCCCAACATCACAGCTGGTCCACACAGTTGGCAGAAACATTTAGTAACTTAAATATTTGAATTTTCTTAAGCTAGTACTTGCGGGGGGCCATCCTGTCCCGCAGGAATGAACGCCACCAAAACGAGAATTCCTTCTCTGGTCACATCTTTATTTGGAGCATTCCCTTGAGGAAAATTGGGGGAAGGGAAGATAGAGCAGGGACGAGAGAAAGCTTAGAGAGAGCGTTGGGCCCCGAGGCAGCTGCTTTTAAACGGTGGAGCGGCTTGAACGCTGTCCTGATTGGTTAATGCCATTCTGCTGGTCTGAGCATGTGCAGGCAAGGGTGCAGGCAGGGGTGCTCAGCCCCACATGGCTACCTCCAAACTGCAGGACCACCTGTGCCTCCAGGTGGCTCCCAACAAGTACTGTATGGCTTTTCCTGGGGCAACTTGAGCAAGCAGAGGGCACCAACAGCAGACCAAAGAAATGACTCCAATCAAGTCTAGCTTAGTGTACCCGTGGGTCTATGGAGGATACTTAAAAACCATGAATGGCTCAAAAGCAGTTATATCACAAAGCCCGTCTCAGCAAGAGTGATAACTCAGGATGATGGTGATGGGTCTTGCAAGTTCCTGCAGGTGCCTCAGCTAGCCTAAAAGTCGCTGTAATGACCTTGGGTAGGAGGTCTTACAGCCTTGTTTTATTTGATTCCTGAATCTTCCGAGGCAGCCTCCACTCTCCAGAGGGAATGTTTCAACTGGGAGGAAAAAGCTAAGCGATAGATTGGTGTTTTTTCCTGAGTGCACCTGTTTTGCCCAGACTCCACAAGCAGACTGAATGCTTGTGTGGACCTTGCAAATGAAGAAATGGGGGCTGCTATGCTACTTTCTCAAGGTTTCAGAGCTAATATATGGGGAGGGTGGCAAAGGTCTGAAATCAATTTGGCTCCCAAGATCATTTGTAAAGATTTCTACTTTTATGTGTATGAGTGTTCTGTTTTCAAGTACATGCATATAAGTGCACCACATGTGCTTGCTGACACCAGAGGAGGGCATTGGATCCCCAAAAACTGGAGTTGCAGGTGGTTGTGAACTGCCATGTGGTTTCTGGGAACTCTGGTCGTCTGCAAGAGCAGCAGGTGCTTTTAGGCCATCTCTATAATCAATATTTAGATGTGTTGTTAAATTGTCTACTTTCTGATCATCTGAGATGGCGAGTAAGGAGGGAGAAAATGGCTACACAGACTGGAAGAAACAGAGCAGTGGTCTGTGGTTACCAAGCAACGCAACTTGTCTTTTCATGACCACGGGTGATGCGGGAGGATTGTCTGTATTCTGTCAATCATATTTTAATAAAACGCTGATTGGCCAGGCAGGCAGTATAGGCGGGAAAACCAGACAGGAAGTAGAGGTGATGCAATGAGAACAGGAGAATTCTGGGAAGCAGAGAGGTTCCTCTGCCACTCCTGCGCAGACCACTGAAGAGGCAACATGTAAGCTGCCCCCGCTGGAAAAGGTACTGAGCCATTATGGCTAACATAGATAATGATAATGGATTAACAAAAGTTGTAAGAGCTAATAAGTAGCCTGACCTAATGGACCAATCAGCTTTATAACTTATAGAGATCTTTGTGTGATTGATTTTCTTTGGGGCTTGCCGGTTGTGGGGTACCCGGGTGGGACAAATACCCCAACAAGCCGGCCCGTCATGTTACACACGGGTGGGAGACAAGTAGTACTATGTGGTTGTCACCGCTAAGTCCAGAGCACAGGGTTGTGGCTGGGACCTTTATTGCCATTGAGACTTAATCAATGGGAGGGGAGGAAGGAGCTGAGTTTTGGTGAATGAGTTCCGGGAAAAGGGGTCATGCTTAGTCCCTTCCTTCCAGAGAGGGTCAGACACAGGATACACTGACGAGTGGAAATGAGCAATGCAATTGCTTCTTCACAGCTGAGCACAGGAGTGGAGTATTTAGTCACCGTGAAGATTGGCAGGACCAAATGCAAGAAAAGCGAGGCAAGCAATGCTTCCTGTCCTCTGCAAAGCAGCAAGCTGAAAAAGGTGAGTTGTGGGGTATCCTTTAAGAAAACCTCAAGGCCAAGGATGGGAAATGGACATCCTCAAAGTGTGAGAGTCAGGGCCAGCAAATCCCCAGCCTTAAGGCTACCTGACACTTCTTGGTGCATCCCAAGAAGGAAGAAGGCTGTTGGCTTGGGCAGTCTGGCCACCCAAGTAGACACTGCCCTGGATCTAGGTTCCTGCTTCTCCCCATGGAGCCCTAGGGCTCAAGTGATGTTTGTTTCTCCTTGGGGCCTTTGTTATTATCTTGCTCCCATTCTCTGGGTCATTGAAGACTGTTCCCGTCTCTTCGGTGTCTTCTCAGTTCTGTTGTCCCTCTCTATGTTGCCTGGCCCCTCATTAGACATGTGGTAGATATGAGTGTCTCTTTCTGTCCCAGGGTGTAGGTGCAGGGGTGGGAGAGGAGGGAGGGTTGGTACTCCTTCCTGGGATCCTAGATCCTGCTTAGACTGAGGACTCCAGAGTCCCCTGCCAGGAGTCTCAGGGGTTCTGCAGGATCCGAGGAGCTGCAGCCTTCTCTTCAACCTTTGGAAACCGTTTTTCCCAAAACTGACTATCTTCTTTCTTCTTGCACAGAGCCTGATTTGCACATCACTGATCTACACCGTGCCCTGGGTGAACTACTACCAGCTCTGGAACAATTCCTGCCAGGATAGCAAAGTGCACATATAAAGAGCCCTGGTGGCACTGAGATGCCTGTGTTGTGCACTGGTTTTTATATCGCTCTAAGAGGACTCATGTACCTTTCTGGTGTACACACACACACACATGCACACACACACGCTCACTCACTTTCACAACACTGACACTCAACAACATGCATAGTAACAGTACCTTTATTGACACGTATGTTTTCCATTCACATATGCACAGGCATGCACACCTCTGCTCTCATACACTTACATTGACTCACACCATGCCAACACATGCAAACACTTACACACATGAACCTCTGTGCTTTCCCATACTTATAGCTCACATACATATCCTTTTGGGGAGCCTCACTATTCTTTCTGCATCAACTCCTTGCTTCTTCTATCTCTGGCCAAGGCACAGCCATCAGCACTGGCCTGGGGATGAGGAGCTCTATCTCCTACCAGGACGCACAACACCGTGACTCACACATGTCACAGTGAGCGCGTCCAAAGTCCCATAACTAAACAAGGCTGGGTACTGTGTAGATTCAGTACACTTGTACCGAGGCTGTGACTTACAATGGCTAAAGGACAACTGCATCAGCAGTAGCAGGGACGTCTTAGCTCAGGTTTGTGTTGCTGTGAAGAGACTGGCTTACAGTTCAGAGGGTTAGTCCATTCTTTTCATGGAGAGGCGGGGGGTGGTACAAAGGCAGACATGGTGCTGGATAAGTAGTTCTACATCTGGATCCTCAGGCATCAGGAAGAGAGAGTGACGCTGGGCCTGCATTGAGCATTTGAAACCTCAAAGCCCATTCCCAGTGGCACATCTCCCCCTACAAGGCTACACTTACTCAAGCAAGGTCACACTTATTAGTGCCAACTCCCTATGAGCCTATGAGCATTATTTTCACTCAAACCACCACAAACAGGTATAGAATATTGTCCTGGGGAAAATACAAACTCCCAGAGTCCTTGCCCATTACAGTCACAAGCTGTGAGGGCATCTATAACACACTGTCTTCTAGGGACCAGACTCAGAGACTCAGTGCTCAGGTGTTGTTTGGGGCTGGTCCCACAGGCTCCTCTGCCTGGCTTGTGCCCAATTCCAAACTCTAGAAGAAGAGAGGTGCCAGGCACAGACCTCATTTTGTGTGTGTGTGTGTGTGTGTGTGTGTGTGTGTGTGTGTATGTATGTATAAAAATATGGAGGCCCTTTGGTAGGATTTTCACCAATGTATTGAATGCTTTCCCTGTAGGTCTCCAGACTACAGGCATGATACAGTGAGCTTATACTCTCTCTTTGCTAGAGCTGCCTCCCTCCATTGACTCATAAGAGCTCAGTAGGGAGGGCACAGCCTTGAGCTGAGAACATATTGAGTGTACCATGTGACGCTTGGCTTCCTCCCGGGGTCTGCCACTGTCTCAGAGGGTAGCTTGAGAATCCCTTAGGGGAGAAGAATGTAGATCTCCATGAGAACCTCAGATTAACCAAGGTGCCTGGAGGAGAAGGCATAGGAAATGAGTAGGAAAGTCACACTGTAGAATGAAGGGGCCTGCTTGTTGGTGTATCTGTCCCGCCTGGCACCTCACAACCTGCATACCCCAAAGAAAATCACACGGAGTCTACATTAGGTTATAAACTGATTGGCCCATTAGCTCTGGCTACTTATTAGCTCTTATAACATATATTAATTATCCTTATCTATGTTAGCCACACGGCTCAGTACCTTTTCTAGCTGGGCAGCTCATATGTTGCTTCTTCGGTGATCTGGGCAGGAATGGCAAAGGGAGCTTCCTGCTTCCCAGAATATTCCTGTTCTCATCGCCCCGCCTCTACTTCCTGTCTGGTTGATCCACCTATACTTCCTGCCTGGCCAATCAGTGTTTTATTAAAATACATGATTGACAGAATACAGATAATTCTCCCATACCATCACACCTTTGTAGAGAAAATCCAAAGCACCCCACCATGCAAATCCAATGCCACTGTACCCACCAAGTCATCTCTTCACTCCCTAAACATAGCCATTTTTATTCTTTTTAAAATAATTGACTTGTGGGTGGTTTTCATGAGTTTTTAATTTTGATTTTTAAGATAGTGTCTAGCAAAGTAGGCCAAGTTGGCCTGGAATTTGAGATCCTCCTGCCTCAGCCTCCTAAAGTTTGATATCACAAGTATACACCATCACGTCCAACTAGCTTTCAGGAGCTAATATTAGCACCTTTTAGCAATAAGCACGTGCGTGCCTGTGTACAAAGCAGACAAGCACGTAGGTCTCTGCTGCGTATTTGTTGAGGCCACAGGGCGTGCATTTGTACATCACGAGCTGCCTTTGCTCTGAACTTCTTTTCACGTTCCCCAACTCACTCTGCATTTCTATTGTTTGCTATTCCAGGCATTGGCATGGTGGGTCAGGCTTGTAATGGCAACATTCAGGAGGTTGAATCAGGGGAGGATTTGTGAGTTAGGCCTATCTGAGCTATATAGGACGTACTGCCTCAAAATTAATGAGTAAATAAATATTAAAGAAATAAGCTGGCTGGTGTTGGTGTCGCACGCCTTTAGTCCCAGCATTTGAGAGGCACCGGCAGGCAGATCTCTGTGAGTTTGAGGCCAGCCTGAACTACAGAGCGAGTTTCAGGACAGCCAGGACTGTTACACAGAGAAACCTTATCTTTAGAAAATCAAACCAAACACACATATAACTCTCACACCCCCCCCAAAAGAAATAAACTATAGTATTGGTTTGAGCCAAGTTTTTGCTTATTTCATGTTTACATGGGGAGACAAGTATTCAATTTGTTTTTTTTTTACTTTATGTGATTTCCTATCGCCATGATTCTTTTTTGTTTTTATTTCATTTGTTCTGTTGTATGTGTGTGTAACATGTGAGTGTGAGTGCAAGTGTGCTCTTGCCGTGGTGCTCACGTGGGGGTCAGAAGATGACTCTCAGGGATTGTTTCTTTCTGATCATCATGGGTTCCAGGAATCAGACTCAGGTGGCCAGGCTTGCATGGCAAGCACTTCACCTTCCTGAGCCGTCTCGCCACCCCTCTGCTATTGTTTATTATTGTTTTTATTTATTATCTATCTATCTATCTATCTATCTATCTATCTATCTATCTATCTATC